CATTAAGGTAAGTAAATCAGAGGGTATTTTTAGTGAGTTTTTTAACTTTTTTTCTTTACTTTTTTTAGGAATAAGCCTTTAGGAGGTGGTTTTTAAAGAGTTTTCTAACTGTTTTCTTTATTTTTTCTTATTTTTAAAAAATCAAATGTATTTTTTTTGAATAATATATAATAAAATATATATTTTTTTGGGTAGTTTATTATGTAATAATAAAATAAAATTATAAATCATAAGTAAACAAAAATGAGTTTTATTAGTTTTAATCTTTAATTAATTTTTGCTGATTTTTGACTGATTTTAAGCTAATTTATACTGAATTTTAACCAATTTTTTATATAAAAGCTAATTGATAGCTGATTTTCTATTTATTTAAAATGCTGATTTTTGGTTATCGGCAAAATTAGGCTATATTTTAGCCAACTTTCAGTACTTTAAATGTGACAAATTGTATTATTTTGCCTAGTGATATATCAAATAACTACCAATCATTAATATCGAATGATTTTTTGTAACATCTGTATTGGGCAACTTCAGCTATAATAAAAATGCTGATTGTTTTGGCAATGATCGGCAGAAATTAGACTATATTTTGGCCAATATTCAGCACTTTAAAAAAGTGATGAAATGGATTATTTCGACTAGTGATAATCTATGCTCTTGTACAATATTTCTCTTTGTTATAATATTTTAATCTCATTCAAAATTCTACTATCAAATGTTGATAACATCTATTTTGAAATATATCAAAGTCAATATTTGATAATTGATTTGTGAAACCATATATGTACGATAATCAAATTTGGCATTGTGCCTTTTAATACCAGCTATGTTATTATTTTTAGGAAGATCAACTGTGACGATTCCGAATCCTGCACTTATCTAAACTTATTCATTTTTTATTATCATAAGTATTTCATTTTGTAATTCTTTTATAACTAAGATGAATTCATCAATTATATTTTCAAATTCCCTACCAAAAGATACAAAATTAATTAGAAAGTGATTTTTAAACTTCTTTTACAAATCTCTACTCATGTGACCAAATTTTATATAAATTTTTCCAAGATTATAATATGCTTTATTAAAAGCATCTAAATCGTTATAATATAAGTCTATAAAAAGCTTGTAATGTTTTAGTAGTATTTGTGGTGTAATTACATATTCTGCAGGAAATTTATATTGCAAAGAAATATGATAAATATTTTGACGACTATTATAAGTATAAATAATTTCTTGAATTGAAAGTTGAAAAGTTGATGAATGCGAAGTATCACCATTTTTGATTTATATATTATTATGATAATTTATATTTTGAACTGATATTGTACTTCATTAAAAGAATATAATTATTTTCATCTTTTTTTTCTAGTACTTCATACTTCCTCTAACCACAACTTATTATATACTTATAATCTTTGGTATCTTTCATTACTTTTTAATATACTAGGTAATTCATGAAATTTTTTGTAGGCTATATATAAAGTAATTGATCAGGTATACATTTATTTGTTATTACTACACAGAAGATTCTACCTATATAGCTTATTATCTGTTGATCACTAATTTCTTTATATTCTACCCAATCATCCAACTTGAATATAACTTTTAAAATTTCATTTTTAATATAATATATAAGATTTGTAAAGACTTTAAATATCTTGTCTATACACTTACTATTATTTATAATAATGGACATTTTACCAAATAATGAAGATTCTTTCTATAAATTTCTATGCTATATTTCAGTATTTGCTTCTTTTTTAATGCAAGGCCCAAAATACATTTTAGCATTAACGTTAAATTATTAATTACAGGTTGAATGTATTTTTATTGAAAAATAATATGTCTTTTTAATAATTGAGTTTTTAAAGGAGCATTTTTTAAGTCTATTGGAATCAATTTCCTGTAAATGATAATAAAGGCAATCTTTTGCAAACTTTCTTAAGAGTCATAATACTGTAAGGAACTTGATTTGTTTTGAATTTTGGATGGCTTATAATCTTGACAAGTTCATTATAAGCATAAATACCTATAAATTTAGCATAAAAATGTTAAACAATTAAAACTTTAAGAAAAAATTGTATATGGTTTTAAGAGATGTAATTATAAGTGGGTTTACTAATATAATTCTTTTAGAATAATAATATATCATTCTTTAAGAATGATAAAAAAAATTGTTCTTTCAGAATGTTGATGTATTATTCTTTAAGAATAATAAAATAAATGTTTTAAAGAATGATAATATATTATTCTAAAAAAAATAATAAAAAATAATCATTCTAAGGAATAATAATTTATCATTCAAAAAGAATAATAAAAATATCATTTTATTGGAAATGATTTCTATAATTCCTTTTTATATAAATATATTATTCCATTGAAGGCAACTAATAAACTTTATCACATATTTTCTTTTAACAAGTACCAATCTTTTAACTTGATAATATAAAGAAAAATTAATTTTAAGACATTGACTTACCAATAAAATATTTTGTATTGAATTTAATCCAATTAAAAATTTTGCAAAAGATTTTATTAGTTTTAAAAACAAAAATACCTATTTTCTAATAAGTTTCTACTAAGTAAATGAAGGATTTGAGTTTTAAAGTTAATAAATTAATAGTCTAAACTAAATATATAGTGAGGCATCAAAAGTCACTAGATACTTAAAATTAAAAAATCGACAAAAAATTTTTTTTCAAATAAAACATTTTATTTTATTAATTTAATCACTTTTGAAATAATAATTAAAGTTATGTATTATAATGAAATGAAATTTTTATTAATATCTGATTAGTAGTAAAATTTATATTATACATTCAATATGATATTTTCATGTTTTTATACAAAATTTCAATTATAATTGAATATATAATTTTTTAGCTATAATCATTTTTGTTTATTAAGTAAACTTGTTCATTAAATTAAAAAATAAATTTCTGCAAAATTTCAGATTAATTACATTTATTATCATGGAGATTATTTGATAAATGTAATAGTTAAATTTAAATAAAGTTATATATATCACGTGACTTTTAAAAACTTCATTGTAATTAAGACAATCTCATCAAGTTAATATGTAATTAATCTGAAATTTTACTGAAATTTATTTTTTAATTTGAGAATATGTTTATTTAATAAATAAAAATGAATATAGCTGAAAAATTATTTATTTAATTATAACTGAAAGTTTGTATAAAAAACACAAAAATATCACATTAAATGTATAAATATTAATTTTATTACTTATCAGATATCTATAAAACTTTAAATTATATGCAATTATGATATAACTTTATTTATTATTTCAAAAGCAATTAAATTAATAAAATAAATGTTTTATTTGAAAGAAATTTTTCTATTTATTTTTTAATTGTTAAGTATCTAGTGATTTTGATATCCTACTTTATGTATATTTATAACTTATTAATATTATATTTATTTTTATTTTTAAAGTAATAAGTAAATTATTCTTTATTTATTTTATAAATATTATCTTATTCTACTAAATTAATATTAAATTATTATACAGATTTTAAACTAGTAAATGGTTTAAATGATATCATATTAGTAAAGTATAATTAAAAAAATTTATAAAAGAAATATATATTATAATAAAAATAATAGAATGATCATAAATTATGTAAATAGAAAAATTATTTATAATATTTAAATCAAAATATAAAATATAATAGATATCAATCTTATTATAAATCAAATTAAAACCTATAATCTTATATTTTTTTTTATAATTTATAGCAATTAGAAATTATTATTTTATTAGTAAATAAATTAATAAAAATAATATAAATTCTTTAAATTTATTTTATTTTTTTTTATTTTATTAGTAAATTAATTAATAAAAATAATATAAATTCTTTAAATTTATTTTATTTTTTTTTTATTTTATTATTAATATTAATAAAATAATTACAAATTTATTAGCATTTGATAGCAATATTGAATTAACTAAAATTGCTTGTCTAAATTCATTTTAGATTTGATAAATATCTAAACCTTTAATTTGCTAAATTTTTACTAAGTATTTGATATATTTTTAACATTTTTATATAGTTTTATCTTTTTCTGAATTTTGCAGATTTTTTAATCAGATTTTAATATTTAAATATCTGACTAAATCCCAGATTAAATCTTAGCTCTAACAGACTATTCTACTAGAAATTTAATAAATAAAAATAAAAAGTAAATAAATAATATTTATTATGAAAAAGTATTATTTAATTTTATTTATAATTATATTAAAAAATTATTAAATAATTTTTTTTAGTATTAAAATAATTAAATTATTAAAATGAATGATCATAGAATCTAGTACTTTATTACTTATCACACTTTTTTAAAATCTAATAATTAAGTTAAAATTAAAAATAAACCTAAGGATTACAAAAATTATGTGAATATGTAATTTTATCAAATTCTTATTTGCATATAAAATTATTAAAATATAATCTTAATTTGTTTATATATTATATAGAATAATTAATATTAATGCAATAATCTGTATAATTTTATCTGGCTGAACTATAATAAACTTTATTTAATATTCAGTTTATATGATATTCTGAAATAATAAAACTAAATTTAATTATTGATATTTATAATTATATAAAAATTAATATTAGTTTATATTTAAATTCATATATTATCACTTAATTGTAATGAACTAGAAATTTCTAATTCAATTAATTGAGAATCTTGAAAATCTATTACAATACATTAAAATTAGTATTTAATAATTAAAAATAAAAGCTTAGCATATAATACCTTCATTATTCTCATTCTTATTAAGATACAAAGCAATAAAAGATGAATTTATTGGCTTTGGCAATTCTTTAAATACAAAGACTCTACTTATATATACAGCATCAGGATTCGCTTTACATAAATTTGTAATATTTGGTATCTCTTTATCTGCTTTATCAAATGCTTCCTTTATTTCTTTTTCATAATATCCAAATTTTTTAGTATTGTTAGACTCTTTACTTTTATATATAATGGAATTATTCCAAAAAATCAATAATTCATAAATTTTGCTAACAGTTGGCCTTTGATTTGGATTTGAATTCATACATCTATAAGCCAATTCCTTATAAAATTCTGGAGTTTCTTTTCCAAATTCTGGACGAAGTCCATTACAAATATTTAAGGCTAAAGATATATTATGTTTTCTATTATAAAATGGAGGATTTCCAGTTGATAATTCTGCCATAATTATGCCAAAACTGTAAATATCAGAAGCTAAAGTATATGATTCTCCATTCAAGATTTCTGGAGCGATATATGGTAATACTCCATATATTTGGTCATCTGATTTTGTCTTATCTGCTAGTCCTGTAAATCCAAAATCTGAAACAAAAGAACTAGATTCAAGTTGCAAGATATTTCCACTATGAAAGTCCTTATGACAATATCCTAACTCGTGTAAATTTTTAAGGTCAATAATTATGTGATATACTGTAATTTGTAAAGTTTACAATACCATAAAATCTTGTTAAAATTATTTGAAAGATAACTTCTCAAATTTCCCATATCTGCAAATTTTACGATCATAATAAATTCTTTCGTTTCTGGATCCTTAGTTATTCCATAAAAGTCTAATGACATATCACTTTCTTTATAAATATCCCAATGTGCTTTAAGCTAATTTTATTTTTAATGAAAATTAGAAAAATAATTATTTAATAAATATCAAATATTAATGTAAAATACCTCTTTAAAATATTTTGTTGACATTCCTGTGATCCATTTAGCCTTTTCAAAGCAACCTTCATAGGAAAAGGATCTGATTTTTTCCAACTTCCATCATCCTGCTTTTTAAATTTCGATTTACCATCGATCCATGTTGCAGAATACACTTTGGCAAATCCACCTTCACCAATTTCTTTTATATCAGTGAATCTATCAAAAGGAACCCATTCTAGAAATCTTGAATAAATATGTCTTAAATCATACATTGTATTTTTGATGAATTTATCAATATCAAAATTTCCACTAGTCCATCCTTCAATATATCACAAGGGTCACATTCTTTACACCATAATTTATCTTCAAATAGTTTGTCGCAGTAAGAACAATACTTTGCCGAGATATTTAATTCGTTGGATTCAGATTCTATTAGATTTTGAACTTCATTTTCATGGCTATTAGCACCCATTTTATGTTCAATAAAAAAAAAATCTGTTGTTAAATTCAATAAGGATATAAAAGGAATAATCACGACCTAAATATAATCACGACCTAAATAAGATCAACCTGCATTGGTGCAAATGATGTGATATAACGTGATCGGATGTTTCGGTCAAAATCCTCGGACACGTGATTATATATATATAATGTGGCTAATTTAATAAACCAAACCTAATTCCACGGGTGGCGTCTGTGACAAATAAAAAAAGATTAACATGACCCGAGGATATCTTCCGTAATTTTTGTTTAACTTTGGGCTAAAAAATTTTGTAAATTTTAATAAACTGGACTTTTAAAGGTTTTTTAATACATGAAATATTTGTTTTATAACTGATTTGATTCTTCAATTTTCAATGTTCAATTCTTTACGGTACGTATTTGTACCCTATAAAAAAATTTTTAAGAAAAATGATCACGTGTCTGAGTTTCTACATAAAAACTAGAAAAATGAGAGATTTTTACAGATTTTTTTTATAGGGATATTAGTTTAGTTTATAAATAAAATCAATAAATTATAAAAAAAAATTCACCGCAATTAGGTAATGCGAAATAACGTACTAGTAAACAACACAAATCCGGTAATAAAGTTTTTTTAATTTATTAAAAAAGCGATATGAAAGAAACATTTGAAAGTATAACAAATTTAATGTATTACAACATCATAATTTTCTTAAATTCATATCATAAATGAAAAGGGAGAAATAGCTTATATCAAATGTGCATTAAAATATGTGATATAACAGTTAAGAAAATGAAATGAAATTTTAAGTTTTACGAACATTCTGCTACTAGGTTAGGGTATTTTCTTTTTAGTCAAAGTCAGCTAGTCAAGATATCAAACTTTTTAGAAAATTTAATTTATCTACTTTAAAAATAATAAATTTAAATGCATTCAAAAAAAATATAACCTGCTATAAGAATTTAAAAATGAAAAAAAGAAATTGTGATCAATATTTAATCTTGATTAATATCAATAAATCGTAAATAGATTCATTGTAATAATCTCAGACATTTCATTATTATATTCTAAATCTTCATTTATCTGATCAAAATTTTGAATAAGTCGAGATAATTCTCCAGGATAAGAATATTAATACCAGAAGCAGCATTAATACTATTCAAATGTTCTGATGATAGAAGTTTTGTTTCAAGTTGATTCGTTTGATCAAATTCTTTAGTATTTGTTTTTGCAATAATTGAATTGAGTTTATCAATTACTTTATTCATAATTGGACGTTTATCCGGCTCATTACCCAACATTCTAAATCATATAAAATTTGTTGATTAAAATTATACGTTAAAAAAACATTTGTTAAAACTTGTTAAATTTACCAGTATAAATGGTTACATAGTCTTCAAGTGTATCAGGAGATATTTTCTCTATGAATGTCCTTGTAAAATTGCTATCAAAACCAACGTCATTTTTTGCACCATGACACAAAAGTTTATTATTAATTATAATAAAAATAATAAACAAATATAATGAAATATAATGCAAGTTACCAAATAATGATGCACAATCTCTTCTTCATTGTAAACATGACACAGCACAAGCCAACTGGAATGCAAAGTTATAGTTCTCTTTCCATGCTTAAAAAATTTATAGTCAAGTAATTTCACTGCCGTCAGCATATTTCATTACTAACCAATATTTTTTCAATTGATCATTTTTGGCTTTCTAATTTTTATTTTTTATATAAAAGTATGTATATAAAGTGAGTTAGAATAAAAAAATAAAAAAAAAGATTATATATTTAAATAATCTTTATTATGAACATATTATACCTTGTTTTGAAGTTATCCACAAAAGCGGATAATACGTTGATGTCCGAGCTAAATTATTATAAATATAAATTTAAGCATGAATTATAAAGTTTTAATATATATCTAGCAATTACCTCACGAAAAAGTTCTTTAAAAGTGGTGTTATTATAATTATGAAAGGATTTTAACGCGAAAATTTGTTTCAATTGCTTGATAGACATTATAGCTGACAGAAACAATCGTTTGAATATTATTAAAATGGTTGTATTCGTAATATTTGATATGTTTTTTTTGAGATTGATTCTTCATTCATCCGAATTGTTTGCAGCTTGCATTTTGGTTGAGTATATAGCGAAAATTTTCTTGGAGAAAAGAAATAAAAAATTGCGCTTGTTAAATCATGTAACTAAGCCACATGAATGTTGAATGACATTTGATATAATACAAATGTTTGTGAAAAACTGCGAGTTCCTTATCATGAATCTCGAAGTTTTAAAATTCTTTCTATAATTGGTTCAGGAGATACTGCTTCGGTATGTTGAATATTGGAACAAGACTTGCAATTAAAAAATTTTCCGAAGATTCTGCGAAAGAAATTATTTTAAACAAGGTTTTATATTAGTATTTGTAATATAATATATATATATATACATCATTATCTCGATTAATTATATTCTTTTCTAGATTAATTTAATGGGAATTATGAGAAGAGAATTTAATGATCAAATATAAAAAATAATCATTATTTGTAATTTTATTTCTAGCATATTTGTTTTATAACATTTTCATTAGTATTTAGACGAAATGAATTATGATCTTATTCTTGTATATGCGGATGGAGGAATATTAGGAAAATATTTAAGAGACAATACCACAGCTTTTAAATAGAAAAGTCCATTAAAATTTGCTCACGAAATCACGAGTGATATTTTATCAATAAAATTATGCATCGAAACAAATAAAAATGTAAGCCCGAATTGTTGGGCAAACTTCATTTTTACGTTTTAGCCAAAGACTTCAATAAAGAAAGTTACCAAAAACTTATGACTGAGGCTAGACAAGCTTGTCCGAACTCGTCAAACCTTCTGCGTTAAAACTTCAGCCATTACATAATCTTTTTCATCCTTAGTTATATTTAAGACAGGTATAGATCTAATCCGGGCTATTTTCTTTTTACCTATGCTATTAAAAAGCTTATACATCTTTTCGGATCTCACTGTCCTATTTTGCAAAGCTTCATCAGAGCTTTTGTCTTGGGAATCGCCTCCCTAACCTCTTTATCAAACTAACACTTGATTGCACTAACTGGGTTTTAACTCCTTGTATCATTTATATACAGATTCCCCAAAATCAAAATAGCTGGTAATACCCTCGGGTTTTTTGTAAAAATTAATGTTGGAAAATGAATAAATATTTTTTTAATGCAAAAATAGCAAATAAGAATAACGAATAAAATGTTTTATTAGGAATATTATTTAATGTACCAATTATTAAAATTTTACATTATTAACTATATTTTTAATTATTACTACTAATATAACGAACAACTATAGCTTTAAACAGTAAATCTTTACCAGGAACTCAAATCAATTTCCAGAGCGTATTGTTCAACGCGTTCAGCAATCCAACGTTTTATATTCGACGCAACTTTTTTGTCGACTGTGTGAAAAGGTTGTTTTTTGAAATTGGCATACTGGTCCCTTGGTAGAACAAAATAAAA